ACCTCAGCAAGCAAGTGATCAAAGTCATTGGTTACATGAGAAAGGGGAACAAAAGAAAACACTGATTCTGAATAACATTCCACAAGTGGCAAATTTATGGGCTACAGGATTCTTTCCCAGCTGGCTTTGTATCTTTCCTGAATGTTGCAAGTGAATTCAAGGACTCTCAGAATATAGTATTCCTGAATAGAGCTAAGACGAGTTCTCTCATACTTTAAGAGAGAACTTATTAAAGTGCTAATATCACCTTTTAAAATGCTAATAACAAAGCCTAAAATGAAGTCTGCACGGAGCTGGGATTCCTCGGATCAGTCTGGTTGCCACAGGTGTGTGCAGGGCGGAGCTTCCGCCTTTTTCTACCACAGACTACTATCAAGGGCAGGTAGTTGGGGAGGGGGTGTTGCTAATGGGGCAAGTCTTTTTCTTGCAATTGCAGGTTAACAGTGAGAGGAGGGGGGGAGGAAACCAGCCTTGCAAGGGAGTGGTTTCCTATTTTCCCTTGGTTGCCACAGCAATGCTATCAAAAGGAGAAGGAGGTGATAAGGATATTTGGCCACTGTAAATAATGATGGAGCAGGAAAAGAATGCCTCAGCTGAGCAAATAATTGGCCAGGAGCCAAGGCTGCCTTACTAGGGGAAGGTAATTTGGACTAGACTTGGCTAGGTTGGCCTAGTTCAACAGAGGAAAGAGCTTCTCCCTCCCTCCCTCCCTCTCTCTCCCCCTCCTCCAATTTGGCTCCTCTAACATAACAGGCTCTGCCTTTGCAGTGTGAGATGTGAGCACAGGACCTGAAGCCAAAATCCAGTGCTGCTGTGCCTGTGGGGTCTTCCTTCCCCTTCCTGGCCAAGGGCCAGTTCCTTTGAGTTTAGCCTACAGGGGCTATTCCGAGCCTGATCTGTAGCTGAAGCCCTGAACTTCTGGGACAGGAGCAGGACTGCTATCTGCAGGAGAGGCGCCCAGAGGGAAAAAGGAAAACGGGCAATTGTGCATTGATTTGCTGGGAGAAACCTCTGAGGAGAGAGCCATTTGGGGAATTTGTTCAGACATGTCAGACCATTATTTCTTTAACCAGAATTTATTTAATACATTGCAAATGTCTGGCTTCACAGAACACCTTAGAAACAAGGAAAGCACACAATGGCTTGACATTGTTCGAACCCATTCTTACCAAGTGAACTTAGTCATCTGCTACACTTACACAGAAATAAGGAGGTGATGCACACAATTGTCCGGCTGCACAATCCCTTAATGACTGTTTGACCTTGGCTGCTGACTTTAACACATCATCCTGGAAACATCTCCACTCCTCAAGCCGAGGTTGCCTCCACTTAATTGGAAACCACTAGGAATTCCTGATTTATTTTTAATTTTCTTGAAACTTTCCACAGCCTGGCTGGACACTTTTAGTTTCTCCACTATTTAAATATCACCATGAGGCTGATGACTCTGAGCTAATGCATGTTAATTTAATCTGATGAAAGTGTGTTTTTTAAATTAAACCATTAATGTAGAGCCTGGAAATTGAAGGGGGGTGTGTGTGAAGTCATTTCTTCAAAGGGAATTATCTGCAGATCTTAAGGACACTGAAGAGGACCTCTTTGTTCAGCCTTTGCCCAGAGAGTGGAGATCTGAAGCTGATCAGAATCGGCATTGCTGGATCACCCCTCCCCCAAAAGGAGGAGTCCAGCTCAAAAATCCCTCCCACTACACACTTTAGCCTCCAGGGAGGGTCACTGATCAGGAAAGCCCCCACCCTCTGCTGTCCTAGCTTCAGGCCTCTCCAGATGGATTTGATCTGTGGCCAAACTCCCCTCCCCACAATTACTGGTGGGACAAGGAAGAAACTCTTTTTCTTTCAGCCCCCCCCCCTCAAAAGCCTCCCCTGGACTCCCTAGGGAAGGGAGGGCTGCTGCTCCTGGTTGGGCCTCAGAGGTAAAAAGGGCATTGTATGTGTGGGTCCAGCAGAGGGCTGCACTCTGAAGCCTTCAGGATGAATGGAAGCTGGGGTCTGACTCCACCTGCTCTACAGCAGAGGTCCCCAAACTTTCGAGCACCAAGGACCGGCTCCCTGGAGAAAAGTTTTTCCACAGATCTGAGAGCGTGGTTTTGTGGGCTGCCTGCATCCCACGGATGGGGCTTTGTTTGTTTGTGCAGACTGTTTGCTGCCATGCCACAGCCCGGTACTGGTCCACGGACTGGGGATTGGGGACCCCTCTACAGCAAGGAAGTAAAAATGGGCTGCACTCAGCTGGGGTATGTCGATATGTGTGTGCATGAGAGAGAGAGAGAGAGAGAGAGAGAGAGAGAGAGAGAGAGAGAGAGAGAGAGAGAGAGATCGATCCAGCTTGGAAGAGTTTGTGCGAAGCCAGCAGAACACACCAAACTCTAGGCTAAAAGTAATCCCCTTACCAGTTTTGCTGTAATCCCACTTTACAGACACTTGCTGCTTGTTTTAACTGTCAAACAGAGCCTAAGTATTCTGTTTCTCCAGATGCTAATAATAACATCAAAGCATCACCTCCCCCTCCAGTGCTGTGGCTAAAAGCAGAGTAAACACAGTCCTCAAAAGATATTTTTTTCTCTTGTGCATTTTTAGAAAATATACCACACTAACAGGTCATTCAATTATTGCAGTTCTCAGTTTTCTGCCAATCTAAGACTCCAAGTGGCTTACAACAACAACTCCTTCCCTCCTGTAAAATAAATAGGATGGTAACATCAAAACATCTAAATAAATTCTCTGTATGGGGTATGAAGCTGATTTAATATTGTAAGCCACCCAGAGTTATCCCGCTGTAAGGTGGGTAACCAATACATTTAATAAATTAAAGAAACAGATGAATTAGTCTAGCTTTCTCCATCCTAGAAGCCTTTTTGTCTGGGAGCAATGCAGTTGTAGTTCAACAAATGGGGGATGGGGTCCCAGAATTTGGGGGGAGGGGGAAACTGCATTAAACCATCATGTGACAGGCAAAGAACTGGAGGGGAGATGAGTCCTCCGTGGACCACCTGATTTTGCCATCAAGGGCTGTGACCTCTATAACCACTGGTGGAGATGGCTCCCAGGATCATTAGGAAGGAAGGCTGAGTGTTCCTCCTCCTCCTCCTCCTCCTCCTCCCATGCAGCCAACTTCACTTGCCTATCACCTGCCTGTTTCTTTAACATTATGATTATGCCCAGTTTCCCATCTCTCCCACTAATCAGTAGGAGGACTTTGTTTATTAACATCTTCTCCTTGCTCACGAAAAAATCTTAGCGAGAACAGCTGAGGGCTGTTGGGTTGGCCTTTGTGGGAAAGACTTTTGATGGAACCGTGTTTAGGTATGTGATGTTCAGAGTTTGGTTCTGGGGTCTTGAAAATCAGCCTTTTTAAGTTTGCACTTAAAATGTGTAATTTTCAAATACCGTATTTTTGGGAACGTAACTAGAACAAGTATGTAGTAGATAAGCTGTGGGCTTTGAAGAGCTACATCAACTCTTCTGGCCTTGAATTTAAAAATCTCTTAACTGATGTGGCTGCTGCCTTTGTGTGTACACACAGACACATTGCTGTTATGGTTAACATGTTGCATCTTCCTAGCAACAAAATGTTATTCCTGGAAAAGCTAGAGAGTGAGAATGGACTCTCTGAAAAGAGGGGAGGAGAGAACTCTGAACAAATTATTTGTTTTTCTATGGGGGAGCAACTCATTCATGACTCTTCTTGTTATTACTGGGAACAGCTAGGCGGGAGTCAAGTTTCTGAAAGGTTAGTTCATTTCCCTGCAGGTGTAGAAAATGTGGTTTAAAGTGAGTTTTTCCTGGAATGTGTTTTAGCGATTAATGGGTCAGGATTGGATTGGTCCAAGGCAGCTGCTTCTTCCCTCCCTCTTACTGGACTCTGTATGAAGAAACAGCCCCCCCCCCAGTTATTTGGGAAGGAAGGAGGGCAACTCTTGGCTGCTGGGGGGAACCACCCGCCCAAGGTGGTCAATCCCTGGGCCTCCCTGCAGGCTTTCAAATAATGTAGCTGCTGTGACAGACCCTCCAGGCTCACAGGTGGAGCTTGAAATTAATCTGATGAGCTCCACCCTGGAAGAAGAGTTCTCCCTCCTGGTCGGAGCTGGAAGGCACCGGGGTTTGGCCCCAGAACCTGTTTTACAAGGGAAGGCTGGTGCTTCAGAGCATAGACAGACTACTTTCCCCATTCTAACCTTTCCAGGCTAACATGTTTAACAAAAAGGCATAGGCTTTCATGAACTGGAGCTGCACTTCACAAAAGTTTCTTCCTTTTAATAACATGTGACAGTCTACAAAGGTGGCACCAGAGATTAAGCTCTTTCTACTAAGTTCAGATATGGTTGGTTTAGTTTTGGTTTAGTGTCAAGTGTGAATCCTTCCATGGGGAACTGTACGAATCCAGCCAGTTGTCTCCTATTCAGTAAAAGGGTGGGAGCAAAGGGGCAACCTCAGCCGGCAGCTGCAGCCGGACTCCCCCACCCCCAAGACAGAAGGTTAGACTTTCCTCCCCTCCAGCCTTAGATAGTGCTGTGCGGTGGTGGTGGTGGGGGGTGGCAGTGTTGTTGATTTCACTCCCCACCTCCCTAACTATGAATGCTTTCCAGTTGCCTCCCACTCCGAAATCAGGCTTACTCAGAAGCAAGCGCCACTGGGACGCTTACTCCAGACTAAGTCCGGATGGGGCTGCGGACTAGGGAAGCTCTCCCGGGGCCACTTAACTGGCGCCTGAAGACTACTTGGGGAGCAGCTGCCCCTCTCCCGGAGGCTCCAGCCGGCAGGGGCCGCCCAGGTTCTTTCGCCCTCCGCCCCCGTTCGAGGCCGCCCGGAAGCGCCCGGCGCACTCCCCGAGGCCGGCTCTGCGGCGCTCGGCCTGGGCTGGCCCGGCTCCCTCCGGCGGGCGGGGCGACAGGCGGCTGGCTCAGCCCTCCTCCCCTCCCCCTGCCCAGGTTGTCCGGAGGCGGCGGTGGCAGCAGCAGCAGGAGGAGGAAGCGCAGCAGGAGCCGCGAGGCCGCCGCCGCCGCGATGGGGCCCGCCGCCGGGAGCCGGTGATGGAGCCGCGGCCATGGCGCGCGCCGCAGCAGGGGCCGGGCCGGGCGGGGGCTGGCGCGACGCGGCGGGGGCCGCGGCGGAGGAGCTGTCCCTGGAGGAGGTGCTGAAGGCCTACGAGCAGCCCGTCAACGAGGAGCAGGCGTGGGCCGTCGGCTTCCAATGCTGCCGCGGGCTGCTCCAGCCCGACCCGCCGGGCGCCGAGGAAAGGCGACGCCGCCGACGGGGACCGGCCGGACGCCTCCGCGACACCGCCGACCTCCGCCTGCACAAGGACGGCGCCGTCTCTGCCCGCGGCGAGTTCGGCGAGGCCCGTGAGTGGGGAGCGGGCGCGGCGGGGAGCGGCGGCCAGCATCGAGAGCGCGCCGGGCTGCAAAGGAAGGCCGGCGGGGCCGCCGCGCCGGGGAGCGAAAGCCCTTCGGGGACCCGGCGCCGCGTCCACGGAAAGGCCCCGCGCTGGGGGTCGTGGCTTGGACGGAGCAGGAGGTGGCGCTCAGTCCCCTCCGCCCGCGGTGCCCCGAGGCGGTCTCGAGGCAGAAGGGGCCCTGACCTCCGGGACCCCGAAATCCCTCGGCCGCCAGACGGTCTGGCACCTCGAAGGCGCTTCGTCCCTTTTTAGCGCCCGCCCCACAGAATATCCACTAGGGGTTCGGAAATGGTCCGAGTTTGGGTCCTTTATGGTTTCCAAAGCAGGCCCGTGAAAGTCAGGGGTGCCCCGAGCAGCGGAAAGAATAGCGGGGGTGCCGACAGTTTCCCAGCAGGCGGGAAGCAGCCTGCGGGTCTCTGTGTGACGTGAGATGCGACATCCCAGCAGCGCAGATCAGGAGCCCTTCCTAAAACCGTGTCACGGGTCTCTCGGGGAGCTTCCGGCTTTCCGGACAGCCACCTTTCTCTTTCTTTCTCCTCAGCAACCCGCCCCTTTATCTGTTCCTTTGCCCCAGTGACTTGGGTGGGGTTTGCCTTGCCTTGAGTAATTCCTTGATTGCATGAGCACAGAGGTCAGAAGTGCCTCTTCCATCCCCCTGCCAGGTGTCTGTTGTGTGTAATTACACCAACTGCCGGTGGCCTTTGGAGGCTGAAGCACCTGCAGTCTTCCAGGGCCTCAATCCGGAGGGCCTCTGAGAAGACGCAAGAGGGGCCTCAAGGAGGGTCCTGCTCCATAGGAGTGAAGTGGTATAGTCCCAGAGGAAGAAGTGTGGACAGGTGGCAAGCCTGGATCTTCAGTGGCCTCCCAGAGTAAGAGATGACCAAGCTGGGATGGTCACAGCTGCCTCATCAGGCAGGCACTTGGTGAGGAGAACCTGTGTCAAAGCCACGTCCACGACGGGGTCTTCCCAGCCTCTCCAAAAGGCAGCAGGGAAGCAACAGCAACATTTGTGCCTGATGTTCACAATGTTATCGTCACCTTAGGACTTGGGCCAAGAAGGGAGAACTGCTAAGAACGTCCCATAGTGACTGATGTGGCCTTAACATTACGGAGTGTTTTAATTGCAAAACAGTGTTAAAGCCAGACCACCTTTTAAAGATGAGGGTTTATCACGTGGGGTGGGAGAGGGAGAAAAGGCTCTACTTAAATGTGAAATGCCCAGGCAATCTTCTTTGAGGAAGGGCCTCCACAGTGGCCATACTCTCAGTAAGCAGGACCTTTGCATGCAGGCCACTACAGACGCCTGAAGAAGGTTACCCATTGAAGAACAAGCATGGGTGGACAAATGTCCTCCCCTTGATGGCATCAACTCAATGCCTGAACAGACCAATCTTTTCATAACTAGAATCCTAAGTCTGGAAGGGACCATGGAGGTCTTCTAGTCCAACCCCCTGCCTAAGGCAGGAGCAGAGTTTTATGTTCATGCAGTCAAGGAACAAGTGTTTCTTCTGTCACTCGTGTATCCACTTTCCTCTTCCACAACTGCCATCTTTTCTTCTTCTTCCTATTGCTAAATTGGGTTTTGCTGCTTAGTTGCCTCTCTGATTCCTCCCTCTTGGGCTTAGTCCTGGTTTAGCCAGTCTTCAGTCCTGCATCGGCCTTTCAGTGCCTCCCTGTTGCCAAGCAAATGCTTTCATTTCATGGTTTTATTTGAGTATCTTGAAGTTGTGTTTAAAAGCAACAACACCCAGGAGAGGCAATTGTTGCTTATCCCTCTGTTCTAAATTAAACAGTGCAAAGGCAAACGCGAGGAGCAGTGATGGGCACACGGCTGGGGTGGCCGAGAGGCCAGCAGTGTCCCTCCTTAGGTGGCTCTTTGCTTCTGCCCTTGTCCAGGATGCAGCTTGTTGTTAGGGAGTCTTTTCCAGGGAAGCCGGCCGTTGGCAGCTGCTGCCACCACTGCCGTTGCTTCTGATAATATTGACTTAGAAGTGCAGCCCAGCCCGCCTTCCAAACTGGTCCAGCCAGTTCTACACTCTGCCAAAGCCCAACCGATGAGTTATGACCATGGCTGGTGTTGAGGGTCACTAACCCAGTGGCTTCCTTGCTCTACATTTGACTCATTGCAGCCCCACACTTCCTGCCTGCGGGCAGCGTGGGTGTCCAGGCGGGGAGGAGCCAGGCATCAGTTTGGGGGCTCCTCCAGCAGCAGTGAGAGAAAAAAGCCCTCTGTTCCAGGCAAGGCTGTTCCTGGTCCCCAACCTGATATCGGGTGTATTCGTGGATCAAAATGCATGCAGCACATCAGCAGCCGTGAGCAAAGGCACTTGATTAACAGTTTTGCAAATACTGCTTCATTGCTTCAGTTTTTTTTTCTTAAATCTGCACAAAAATGTATCTATTTTGGGACACATTTATCCAAAAGTATGTACTTCTCTTTCCGTTTTGCCTAATGCATCATTTTTGAAAAGCAAATTCTCCCAATTTAATGCACATGTGCATTTTGTAGTTTTTCTCTTCAAATTGGTAAAGTGAATGGTAAGATTCCAGGCACTCTGCCTTCCAAATAGTAACTTTGATTAATTTAAGAATGTGAATCCAAACAGGAAAGAGAAAGTCAAGCGTGAGAAAGCCACCTCCCGTCCTGACTGATGGCATTTCTCAGAGGTTTTCCAGAGCACTGAGCTGTGCAAGATCTGCTCACCTTTTTTGCTGCGCACACTGATGCCAAGTGCCACCTGCTCCCCATCCGAGGATTGGGGAAACAAACTGAGAGGGAATTGTGTTGAAGTCACAACTGTTCAGCGGAGTCAGCTTCTAGTAAGGCCAGCTTTAGGGTAGGGAGTCCCACTGCTTTGCATCAGCCTCGATGGTAGGAAGGGAGGAACCAGGAGAAGAGGATGCCTCGGTAGAGATACCCACAAAGCTGGTACAGCTGCAAGGCCTGCGCTGCCCCCCCTCCCCCCAGCTTTGACTCTGTGTGATGTCAGGCAGTGGAAGATAAAATAGCCGAGGACTTGGCTCTGCTTACGCTGCTGCATTATGTGGTTCTCTGCTTTCTCCTAATGGCCCAAATCTTTTTCTTTCTTTGCCAAACTTCATTTTATTGATTACAGTTCATGTAATTCTCTCTGGAGAAGGGTGACCCCTAGAATCTTCTTTCAGTCTCCTTTCCCATCATCTCCCAGTCACATAAATGAGACAGCAGTTAAGAGAGAAGAGCTGGGTTTGTTTGGGGAGAGAGAAGAAAGGGGAGAGAGGTCTCCCTGGGCACAAACGCATCTGTCCATCTTGCACTTTTATGTCCCCAAAGAGAAAGATCAGCTGTGAAATGGAGCTGTTGGACATCTTGTCATCTCCCTAGAGAGACATTTGGGGCTTTAAATGGATGATTGATTGGGAAATAGCAGGAAACGGGTGTCTGAACTGGCTGCGTGTACATGCATGTGCTAAGATGGCTTCCAGACTGGTCTTAAATGCACCGGAAAAGTTCTTTTTACCAGCATCTTTCAAGTTCTGTTTTTAGAAGTCCTTTATACAATGAGTTATTCTTTTCATAGCATTTACCCTGGCTATAGTCTGTCTTTTTTCTTTTCTTCTTCCATTTGTAAATTCTGGCCTTCTGCATTTTTCCATTCCTCTCCGAGCTCCCATCCTCTACCCCCCCCCACACACAATATTTTACACTTGTGGTTTCAAAGCAGCACCTGCATGTGTGAACCCAACATGCCACTTGCTTTAATTGAGCCTGGGAAAGAATTCTCATTTGCACACACAGGCACACTTGTTTTGTGAATAGCTGGCCTGTGTGTACCAAACCCGACATACAGTGAACCACACCCTATTTAACCACCCAAAATAAAGTAGATTCTATCCATTTGGCATCTCTGCCCTTTTACAAAAGGAGAGACGTCAGTGTGAAACCTGCTTGGTTCTTGCTCAGGTTGAGGCTGGGCTCAGATACATAGGTGGTACATAAATCTGCCTAGAGTTGACAAAGCCAGGCATTCTCTGTCTCTCTGAGACTGGCATCTTCTAACAGCGTCTTCTCTTTGCAGAGCTTCCACTGACCTTGGCACCTGCAGCAGAAGCACAGGTAGGTGGCTGTGCTCATCTTCTCTTCGTACAGTCCTTTGGAACTGGATAACCACCCAACAGTCTCTTAAAAAGCTAATTATTGAACCTTTCTCATGTCGCTTTCACTAGCAAAGCACTGGCAAGTATGAAAAACTTCAGCCTGTGCAGATCAGATGACCCATTTTGCCCCCTCTCCCCAAAGCTGTCAGGGTCTGAGCACCCTGGCACCTCCTGGCCTGGGCGCTACTTGGCATTGCCACTGTGCCCACCCATCCTCTGGAGAAATCACATTGGCAGGTGTGGATGAGAGAGTTGTTTAATCAGCACTCGAAGCAAAGAGCCCCCTGGATGTAAGCTAAGCCGTATCTTTCTCTCGTCGGCTAACTTCCCCCTCCTCTTTCCTGCCCTGCAGGTGGTGCAGTCCCTGGGTTTTGTCATCTACCAGGCCCTTGACTGGGGCCTGGAGGAGAATGAGGAGCGTGAGCTGAGTCCCGAACTGGAGCGGCTGATCGATTTGATGGCCAACAGCGACTCTGAGGATAGCGGCAATGGCAGCAGCACTGCAGACGAAGGCTACGGCGGGCAGGAGGAAGAGGAGGAGGCGGTGGCCAAGGGGACCCTGAGTGCTGTCCGCACATTCAGCCAAGTGATGCAGCTCTGTGCTGCCCGCCTCTCCCAGCCCCAGGAGGCCCACGTTCACTACCAGGCGGTGTGCCGGGCATTGTTCCTGGAGACGGTGGAGCTGAAGGCTTTTCTGGCCAAGATCCGGGACGTCAAGGAAGTGAGTGGTGCTTGCCTGGGTTGTGGACCATCTGCAGGTGCCATTCCTGAGGTGCTGCCCTTGGTGGGCAAGTGGGCATTAGGCCGCCGCCTGGTGATGCAGCTTTCCTGAGGCTTTGCTGTGCAGCAGAATCTGTGATCCCTGAGCCTCCTGTTGGCAGCTGGGAAGATGATCTTTGGAGTTGGGGCGGATGGTCCAGCCCTGTGTCTCTTACCCGATTCCCCTGGAAAGGGAGAGCCTCACCATCTCTACAGCAGCTGCCCAGATGTTAAAAAGGCTCTTTTGTGTCTCAGATAGTTGCTTGGGTAAGGCTTATGTGCCAGGCTGCTTGGCTTCTGGAGATCTGCAAATTGGATTTATCCTATTCAGCAGCATTTCTAAGCCATCCCAGTCCCACAGGACTCTGGATGGAATACAGATCTCTCAGCAGCAAGGAATGAGGATAAAATAATCAAGATGGTTAAAATGACCCCACGGAGAAGAGCTGGCCAAAGACTGGTGGGACGAATTCTGACTTTAATTGGGTACCAAAGAGCAGGGGTGAGAGGCTGCCCATGCCTCTTGGGGAAGGGCATTTCAGAAAAAGGAGGTATCACAAAGAAGGCCCATCCTCTGGTCCTTCTTGCTGAGAAGAATTCTCCATATCCCCTCCAGCTGGGCAGATTCAGTCCCTTAGATTCTTTGGCCTGGGAAGTCTACTGCAAGCACCAGGGAGATGGGCTGCCCAGCTGAGCCATGGCAATGTGCTGCGGGAACTCCATCTTCCTGTGGCAGCTGAGCAGCAACAAGCCCCATCCTGGCAAGCTCCCAGCCCTTTTGTTCCTGCCCTCCCATCTGTAACAAAGTTGGGGAGGGTTTCTGCTCTCTCTCTGCAGGTCTTGCCTCTAGAGTGGTGCATCTGGTCAGGGTTATCCTCTGCACAGCTGGTGCAACTAAGAGCCAGGAGGAGGGAAGGGTGGGCACTGCCCCATTTCTTTGCCAGGATATCTCATGGCACAGATGAGGCTCAGTGGATGCTCGGCTCTTCCTATTCCCACAGTGAGAGCTCCTGGGATGAAGGTAGCCAGGGCTGCTGCCTGAACTGGGCTTGCTCTCTGCATCTCTCGGGAGGAACCCTGAGTAGCTAATGAGAGCTGCTAATTAGCGACTCTCCAGGCAAAAGTGCTGCTTTCCCATGGAAAAGAGTTCATGGAGAAGTCATTTCCACCACCACTCTCCTGAACTAGTCACTCAGGGAACAGATTCTATTCTAAAGCCTCCTAGTGGAAGTGAGAAAGGCCGGGTGACAGAAAGAGAGACAAAAATTAGAGATGGGAGTGTAACACGGGTGCCCTCAGCTTCTGGGAAGGTTAGAATTGGAATTCATCTCTCTTTGCGAGGAGACCTTAAAGGGAGCTCAGAAGAGCATCAGCCAAACACATCCTGGTGAGAGCTTGAATGTATCCACACGTACCTTGTCTGGCTTTTCCCAGACCTGTGCCTGAACTGGAAGGTCAGCAGGCAGAGATTCAAGGATGCAGCTGTAAGACTCAAGCTATCCACGGAGGAAAGGCGAGGGTCAACCTGCTGTCTTTTTCTCCCACCTGGGCATCCTCAGGGCTGGGAGCCACACGTGTTTTGATCACTGTGGATTGTTCTTAAAAGAGCTGCTCTGCTCTTTGCCTGCCTTTGCTTCTAAACCTTCTAGCTCTTGTGTGGAGTATTACACTACCAGTCACTCTCATTTGGAGAATTTGTGTCCCGTCTCTCTCCTCTCCCACACTAAAGCTGGTTCTTGTTCCATTCCTTGCTTGCATAGAAGATCCAGCTGAATAAGGATTTAATCCCCCCCCCCAGCCCAAAGTAAGCTTTGGGTGGTCCTTCCCTGTCATTAGGGGGCTGCCTCTTCAAGTTAATCCCAGTCCAATCTAATAACTTTTATGCCGCCATTAATACAATGGAACTAGGCAAGACTAACCCGTTTCTGGGTCTTGGGATGTGCAGATGCTAATCAAGCTGAAGGATGAAGATGAAGAACTGAGGGACCGATCCGCAGCAGAGCTGGATAACCTGAGGAACACGGACTGGGTATGGAGCGGGCTGGGAAAAGGGGAATAGAGTTGGTGGGCTTTTTTTAAAGTACCCCAGAATATCTCTGGGTGAGGCTGGGTATAAATATTTTAAGTAGGGAACTGCTTCCTTCAAGAAGCAAGAAGAATGGAGGAGAGAGCTCAGTCTTCTCCCCTTGCTGCTCTAGGTGCACCTGAAGCTCAGTAACAATATATTTTTCTTAAATATATTTCTGCAACCACAGCTTCTCCTCTCATACACATTTGCAGAAAGGGCCAGGCTTTGTTGAGTAATGCTGCATCATGGCTGTGGTTTGGCCTTGAGAACAATCTCACAGGGCTGCCCATAGCAAGACCTCCCCCGCCTGTGGGAGAGACAGTCCATTTAGTCCCACAGTGGAGCATAGTTTGCCTTGGAGAAAGCTTGGAAGAAGGATTGGCTTCTCAGAGCAAGACCCACCGAGGGGTCCTCAGCGTCTCTTCTGGCTCAAGCAGTTTGGGGGAAACCAATCCTGGTGGCATTGTTGGTTTGTGGCTTTCAGGCTCGGCTCTGGGTCCAGCTCATGCGAGAACTGCGGAATGGTGTAAAGCTCAAGAAGGTCCAGCAGAAACAGTTTGACCCCTTGCCCACTGAGTATCAGCTGACGCCTTTTGAGATGCTGATGCAGGACATCCGAGCCCGCAACTATAAACTCCGCAAGGTCATGGTGAGAGGAACAGGGACGGTCTCCTCCCTCTTTGGGGCCACCAGATGGCCCTGGGTAGCTTGGCCACTCTCTGGTGCCTTCCTCTTCGTGTGGGCCTGGCCCCTTATCTCACCCTAACCCTAACCCTAACCCCTGAACCTTACAAAAGTCACTCCAAAAGCAGACAAGATGGACAGGACTTTGGAAAGAAGCAGAAATCTGTCCCAGGTAACTAAAGGCTCCTGGAGGACAGGAGCCACTGTGGCTCACTCTTCTTTATGGGTATCCATCAGGTGGACGGAGACATTCCACCCCGGGTGAAGAAGGACGCCCATGAGCTCATTTTGGATTTCATAAGATCTCGTCCGCCTCTGAGACAGGTAAGCCGATGTTCTGCTATTCTGTACTTTACTGGGGTGGGGATTGAAAGGATCTTTAGTGGACTCTGGGAGTTGTACTAACAATCATTTTAATTGCTTTTACCACTTCTACTATCCATCATTTATTTGAGATTGCCCAATAGGAAATTATTATTATTTTAAAAGAGCTGCTGGGGTGTTCTGGCCAGGCCGAGATGCTTTGTTTGGAACCTCAAGGGCAGCAGCTGGCCAGGGTGCTTTGCTCGGCTTCCCAACAAGTGAACATTATGACTGTCACAGTCCAGTATACATGCTAGCTTTACCATTATTCGGTAACTTCTTGAACGCCGCAGATCAGGGACCTATTTTGCTGGCCTTAAGATGCACTTTCAGCTCCAGAGTTGGAACAAGGCTCTCTGACTTCCCAATCCTATTGTAGGCTTCCGAGCGCCAGCTGCGTCCCATGCCTCAGCAGCAGAGGACCCTTCATGAGAAGATCCTGGAGGAGATCAAACAGGAACGGAAGCTCCGGCCTGTGGAATTGCAGCATCAGGACCAGAGAGGTGTGTCTGTCCTTAAAAAAAACCGGGGGGGGGGGAGGGTTCCTGGAAACTAGAGAAGCCGAGTTTGCTCCCTCTTGGGATGAGACAACAAAGGCAGGAGAGAAACTGCTGGATCTTGTGGAAAACTCCCAAGTGTAGTCCCATAGACACCTCAAGATGCTCCAGACTGAGAACGCAGCTGTGACTCTTCACCTAAAATGGAGACGGAAACAGGAGGGAGACTGGAGTGATTTGGAACCCTCTTCAAGGGAAGACATTTTGTGTCCAAATGGTCCAGGTGTCCCATCCTTCAGCCCTAAAGCTTTGATCTATTTTGATCTTTGGGTGGACACTCTGAAGTCCAGTGCCAGGCTGGAGAAAGCTGGGCTATTATAAGTCCACTTGTTAGAAGGGAGACCAGGTTGGAGCTTCCTACATACCCGGCACAGGAGATAGTTGGTGCCACCACGTGCCCTCTCCTCTCGCCCTGCCAGGGTTTGGTTCCTTGCCCTGCCTGGTGAATGCCTGCTCCAGCAACATGAAGTCGACCTCTTGCATCAACCTCTCCGTTTCAGAGTCCGGTGCCCCAGCTCAGCGCCAGAGGCCGAGGGTCCTGCTGAAGGCACCCACACTGGCAGAGATGGAGGAGATGTTGGTTTCTGAAGTAAGAGCTGGGCTTTGTCTCCTGCTTTCTGGGCAAGAAGAGTTCCTTGGCCTGCTGGAATGGGCATAGACCATGAGCAGACATTGCAGTCCAGTCCTGCTGGCCTCTTCTTCTGCCCCAAACCTATCGTCTGACAACCTCTGCCACCGTCTGTGGCCGTGGGCATCATACCCCAAAGGCCTCTTACTTGTGCATGTATGCCCTGGCTCCAGTGTTCCTTCCCCTTAAGGGCAGAAATGCCACCCTGCTATCACCTGGGGGGCTGTGCCTGGGGAGACAGTCTGAGTGCCAGCATTTCTGCAGGCGTGCTGAGTGTTCCCTTTTTGGCAGGAAGAAGAGTCTCCCTGTTCAGAGGCGGTTCAGGAGCTGGGACCCCTGATGCCCCTGAAGCGGGACCGCTCCTTCTCCGAGCAAGACTTGGCCCATTTTCAGGGTGAAAGTGATAGCAGCGAGCCTCACCGGGAGTACTTAAGGCCCAGCCTGTCAGACCTGAGGCCTCGCTCAGGTACCATGTCCGCTGCATGGGCCAGCATGGAAAATATGGGCAAGTGAACCTTTCTTTGTGACCCAACCCCGCTCTGGGAAGCCATTCTCTGTGGGTCCCCTTCTTGCCGTCTTTCCCAGCGGACAAGTTTCAGTCCAACTGCTCTGAGGACCCCTGCAAATCTAGTGAGAGTTTGGGAAGATTGGGGGAGCAGCCTTTAATTAGTTCGGCCTTCACATAGCAGCTGGGAGGACACCGGGTGCTGCAGGAGTTTTCCATTTGCGAACATCGGCTGGGTTTGGCTGCTATTGATTTTCTGGCTTGCCTCTTGTTTCAGCTACATACACCTTGTGTCTTCATGGGAAGCAGGAGGGCCTGTTCTCCCTGCTGGGTGGATACTGACTGCCAGTTTTCTTCTGTTCTCCTTCAGGATCGGTTCCGGCTCGCTACCACCCCCGGGTCGGTTTGTGTCCTCGTAAACAAGACAACCTCGGTTCTGTAGAGGAGAATTTGGAGACCAGCTCTGTTCCGATCACGGATGCCAATTTGAAATATTTGTGGCTAGTAAGCATCTTGGGTGGTATGGTCCTCCACACATGCTTTCTGGCATGGCCTCTGATAAATGAGGCTGGGTTGCCCTCCCCCCCCCCAGCCTAGTCCTTATCCCAGGAGCATGGCCCAGAGGGAAATGAGTCAAGAAATGGTAACACGGAAGAACTTTAATGGGAGGGTTGTGAGTGCAAGGGTTCCAATTCCACTGTTCCTGGAGTTAGAACCTGAGCATGTGGCACGTCTTCCTCTGGGCAATTTGACGTTTTGCTCTTAAGGGCCAATTCTGCATGGATCTATATGCTTTGTTTTTTTCCCAATGAAAGCCAGCCTTTCTCCAAATCTTGTGAGATGCTAGACTATTTCCAGCTTTCCCTGGCTTTTGAGATCTGATGAGCGGAGGAAGGGGGTGTGCTGTAAGGGCTGATGTTTCTACTGGAGTCCTAATTGCAGTAGACCTGAACAGCTATCTCTGCCTGGGACAAAGAGAGTTCTGGGCAGCTGGCCTGGCTGAGTATTCCTATACTCTGGGCAGCTGGCCTGGCTGAGTATTCCTATACTCTGCCGCCCACAGCAGGAGTTCAGCCACCCCGTAGAAAGCCTGGCGCTCACGGTGGAGGAAATGATCAACGTGCGCCGGGTGCTGGTGAAAGCAGAGATGGAGAAGTTTCTTCAGAGCAAGGAGCTCTATACCAGCCTGAAGAAAGGGAAGGTGAGGCTAGAGGGGCTCCTGAGCCTGCAGCGATGGGGGGAGGGCGTTCCCCCAGAGGAGCTGTTGCTGACTGTCTCTCCTCTGGCTCAGAGCTGCTGCTGCTGCCAAACCAAGTTTACGCTCTTCTCCTGGCCCCCAACCTGCCTCTTCTGTAAGAGGTAAGCAGACACCCCGCTGGGGAGACCATGGGGTGAATGGGGCTCCCAGCTGAGCCTTTTCTTTCCTGTTGCTTTTAGATCTGTCTGCAGCTCCTGCAGCCTGAAGGTAAGGGCTTTCCCCCACAGCCAAGGAAAAATCCCTTGGCGCAATCTTCTGGTGACTTGGGTGGTGCAGCCCAGCCCTCCACTGAGTCCCTCCTGCTTGGCCCTTCCAGATCAAGATGCCCTCGAAGAAGCTTGCCCACATCCCTGTCTATGCCCTGGGCTTCGAGACGCTGCATGGCTCTCTGGGTGCCAAGGGCTCCCCAGGCCGCCGGCAGGAAACTTTCCAGTAGGTGGTACTTCTTTTCCTTCTCCCTGTTCTGTTTCTTCCTCGGCTGTTTAGGATGAGCAGATGCTCCTTCAGCAGCAAGCCACTCAGGAGTAGAGCAAGTGACTCCTGAGGCTGAGGTTGGCAGATCCAGACTTTTTCTGCTCCAATTGTCTTGGGCAGCTGTCTCTGACTCCATTTCTAGACAGGTTGAGGGGTCAGCTTTCAAACCAATCAAGTCAGCAAATAGAGTTGAAGAAGCTTCTTGGATGAGAAGCAAAACATCTTCAAAGAAAAACAAAGTCCAGCTGCCCTTGTGAAAAAGCACCTTTGGGACAAGTCAGCTGAAGGGGAATTCTGGGGGCTGCAGTCCCAGCACAGGTTTAAGGCAGGCGCTTGCAGGTAGAGGACCTCAATTCTCTACAGTCTGAGGTTTGAACCACAGTTGGATAGGTTTGCAAACTACAACTGTTGCATTTGCCCAAGCTACTAAGATACTAACCAACAACAGTTTTAATATGGCATCAGCCGAAGATATGCCCCCATCTCCTTTTCATTCATGGATAAGAGATTTTTGGCTTTAGAAATGGAAGGGATCCAAAGTCTGTGAAAGACCTCCTGGCTGATGGTGCAGCAATTTCAAATCGCTGAAGGACTGCAGAGGGCCAGGGATGATAGTTTAACGATTGTGCGATGCATAACCTTGATCTCCCTCAAGTTCCAGACCTAATAGTAAGGCAGGACCTTCTAAAGCATGATTTAAGGATATCCCATAAAGTAAGTTAGGTATCCCAGCAGGTTACCCTACGTGCTTCCTAATCCTGGAGCCACAGACCTTTGAACCAAGTAAAGCCTGTCGGCTGAGGTTACTCTGGCCCTGGGAGGGAGGGAGGGCCATAGCTGCCCCAGAGCAAGGACCCCAGTCAGACCACCCCGTTTTTGCCTTCCAGCTCCCTGCAGGGCACCCACTGGCGCAGCGTGGAGGAAGAGTTCCCCTGCATCTATGCTCATGGGTCAGTGCTCAAGGACGTTTGTCGTGATTGCTCTGGCTTTGTCACAGATGTCGTCAGCTCCAGCCGCAAAAGCATGGACATTCTCAACACCAAGCCGGGGAGGAGTCGCAAAACCCAATCGCTGTACATCTCGTCCAGTTAGAGGCGCCCGGAACATCCCCTCAACGTGCCCCCCCCACCTCCAGCATCCAACCCTCGAAGGCTAGGCAGCCACGATTCTCTGGCAGATGAAACACGGCTTTGGGGGTCTGCTGGCTCCCATCTTCCAAGGACATCTGCCTGCTGCTTACGTACATATACATATACATGTACAGATACATATACATATACACATATACACATACACATATACATTCACATACGTATACACACACACACACACACACACACACACACACACACACATATACCGCACCCACCCACACACCCACACACACACCCTTATAGATACTCTATATTTATACAGCGGATAAGTTGCTTTAGCTGATCAGCATGGCAACCCCCTTCATTGGCAAACGAGAACTTTGCCGAAACCACCCAACCTGGAGGTCAGCCAGAGGGAGCCTGGGCACCAGAGGTCCAGCTGCGCTGGTGGGCAGGAAGATGACCTGTCAGGCAGAGGCCAGCTCCTTCTCTGCTGCTTTCCCCACTTTTTCCCCTGGAGAAGCTCCCCACCCCTTGCTGATGCCTCTGAAGGAAACGTTCTTTCAGCCTTTGGCTTTCTTGCAAAGCGGGCTCCCTCCCAGCCACCTGCCGGCTGCTGAATGCACCTTACGGAGCTGCTGGCTGCTCCTTGTCATTTCTTTGGCTCTTGCTTGTTGTCTTTCCCTAGAGCAAGAAACGAAGCAGGTCTCCTGCAAAGACTATGAAAAAGGGCGCCATTTCCCTCTCATTCTCCCTCTACAGGAATGTGTCTTATTTGTACTGCCAATAATAAAATAACTAATTTTGTAAGAATTTAGATAAAGAGCACCTGTTCCCAGCTACTGAGAGCAATCTGCATAGGGAGGACGACTGCTGGCTGCGTGGAGGGTGCCAGGATCTTTGTGGAGCTGGAGGTGGCTTGGACTGAAATCCTGGTTCCTACATAAACAGGGCCACACTTACACATTGCACTAAGCTGTGTAAACTATGTAAACTGCAAAGTAAATTGTGGCTACTTGTGTAGTGGCCTAGCATGGTGTGGATACTTTACAGCTTATTTAACATCCCAACTTGTGGTATCCTGCATGAGCTTGCGGAGAAGGTTGGTTCCAGTCCCCTTTTCATTGACTTGAAATGAGTAAAAGCCTGGAAGGTGGGCCCTCTGTCAAAGACCCCTCCTGCTGTGAGTGGACCTAGTTCCAGTTGGAGCCACTGCCTCTGCCAGATGCTGACTGCATGCCAGGGAGTGAAGTGGGGGTTCTGCAGCTGCAGCTTCTGGAGAATGAGTAGCCACCCAGGCAGGCCTTGTTAACCTGACTTAGTGGCTCTTTCTGCCGGCCCCAGGAAGTCTGCCAGAAGAAGTTAAAATTTGGTAATGATCCCAAATGCTGAATTGGCATGTGGGGGGGGGAGCATAATCAACCAGAAGGGCAAAAGACCTCCCTCCAGGTTTTTATTCCACCATCTTCCGAATCCCTCTCTCACCTCACTCGCTGTCCACTTTATTCAACCCTGCCTTCAGTATTTATGGAAGCTCATTGTGTGAGAGGACAAGCTAGACTCTGTATCCTCCATCCCTCCTATTTACACTTCCCAGCTGCACAAGAATAAGATCCAATACCTGCTCTTCCTTCTGGGACTTGTGTAATTCTGATAGGGTTTTTTGGACCGGGAACTCTATATTTTAAGAGTTTGCAAGGTGGGTCTTTGATGAAGGAAAGACTCTGCCACGGCCCCTTAGCCTTTTATGGTCTGTAGCACAACAAAGAACACTCTGTCACTCTCCCAATCTGAGGAGGCGGCTCCCTCCTTCATGTTCAGGCCTTAGGCTGGTCCGCTGTGCTCTTATTTTCTCAAATGACTCACCTTTGGCTTTTGCCAAGAGCCTCCAAACCTGTTTCTGCATTCATCATCCCCTCCCTTGCTCCCCTGCTACATGGCAGCCTGTTTGGAAGAAGCCTCCATCTTGTGCCACTTTTGTGCCTAGCATCACAGGGCTCAACTAAGTTGAGAGCCACTTTGGTGTCACAATTAAGGTGCTGAGTTCTTCTTGCCTTAGTCATGAAAGTCAGCTGGGTGACTGTGAGCCAGTCACTCGGCCCAATTCACCTCACAGAATTGTTCTTAGGAAAAGATGAGGCAGGAGTATTAAATTCTGTTTGCTGCCTTGCATTATATGTAAAAAAGGTGGACTAGAAATCTAATAATTCAACATGCCAAACTCTACAAAGCACATATGCCCATGGCTAACATGGCATGGGGGTACTTCATACCAGAAATGCACAGGTGGATGCACAAATAACTTGCATATAAACAATCACTGGCTGTGTGCAGTGTACATAGACCATAATCAAGGAATTGTCCAGAACTGAGAATGTGGTCAGAAAGCAAAACTCAAATGGGGAAGGGAGGTTTTGGGATAAGTTTCGAGACAGAAAGGAAGGTTTCAAGAACAGAAGAGGAAGGCCAGGACTTAGTAGGCTGGGGTGGCAGAGCCAGGCCTTCCCCTTCTGGTCTTCTAGGGCCCCCCCTTCTGTCGTCTGTGTCAATCTGCTTGCTTGACATTTGGCCTGACCTTCTGCTCACTCTTTGCAGTAGCTACTTGCTGTGTCAAAGAGGGCTTCCCCTCCTACCAGTCCTGCTTGCACTCGTCCTGCTCTGCCAATGTTTTATATAAAGTGTGTACTTTAAAGAAGTGTAAATAAAATGTAAAGTGAAGCAGACCTACTAATGTTCCTCTGTAAATCCTGCTCATGGGGCAGTAACAATTTCCCTTGTCATCATCAGTCATCTGAAGGGGAGGGGGAATTTGAGACTGATGCAAATGCTTCCTAAAATTCCAGATGGAAGAGCTTGTTGATATCTGTTTAAAGTAGAGCTCTGGTTTTGCGCTCTGTCCACTTATTTTACTTTCACAGCACATATACAATGTATGCTGCAAGGTTAACCCAAAGAGATGGTTACAGGAGCTTTGGAAAATGTGCTTATTTCAGGCTCCTGTTTAGCACTCCAGAGATCAGGAGTCACACAGAGGTTTGATTTGATCTGTGACAGCTCTTATTATTCTCTTTCCAGAAGAACAATGGGCAGAAACTTCTCAATTTGAATAGATCCACAAGGATTGTTAATAGGGCTGCAACAAAGTTATTTCCTTAATTCTACTGCTATAAAGGAGGGTTGAAGGTGATTGGGAGTATTGAAGATTTGGCTCATGAACTTCTCAGTGTTCAGAGTTACGCAGCAGCCTGAAATCTGCCAACTCAGCTCTTGAATATAAGATTATGTAGAATATCATCTAATTCAGCCTTATTTATTCCAATTTATACAGCCACCCATCTCATATATATGACTCTCGGAGGCTTACAAACACCTACAATAATACCACAAATATGCAATTTAAAAACAATATAAAAACAACCATCATAAAATGCATTAAACTTACAGCTGAGATAATCACAGCCACCAAAATACTGCAGCCACTGAACTGGCCCTACGCCACGCCTGGGATCCTCAGGCCCATTGGCAACACCACCTTTCCAGGCCCTTGCGAAAAGCCAGCAGTCAGGACCAAGCCGATTTCTACAGGGAGACTCCCCAGAGCCCCGGCTGACGGGAGCCACAGCCCGACTCCCGACTCCTCCTAAGGCCTGATGGGAGCGGGGCAAGAGGGAAGGGCTGGCCAAGAAACCAGGAGGCTCCTTAGGCACGGAAGCCGGCTGGGTGACTTGGGGGGGGCTCTTTTTCAGCTAGACCCACCTCTCAGGGCTGTTGTTGAGAGGCCAACAGAAGCCGAGGCAATAGGCACGTTCGCTGCCTTCGGTTCTACCGATCGCTACTGAGTCACGAATCACCGCGGGGCGGAGGCGGTCCCTGGCGGTCCCGGCTCTTCCCGGGGAGAAAAGCTGCCTGCGGGCTTGCAGTCAAAAGGAAGGAGGCGCCGACCCAGGGCCGCCATTTCGACCACTGTCGGCGGGCGAAGCTGCCCTCGGCCTTCGCGGACCGGGCCGGGCTTCGGAAAGAGGAGCCGCGCATGCGTGGGCGGCGCCGCGGAAGCGCGACGGGCCGGTGCCTAGAGGGGCACCCTGCTCTCCTTCGGGTTCTCTCACCGGCTTCCGGTGCGGCGGGTAGCAATGTCGTGCCGGGCTCTGCGGCGGCTGCGGGGCGAGTGTCGCGGGCAGGGACTGCTGGGCGAGGAGCCGCCCCTCGGCGGGCTGGAGGCGCGAGGCAACGGCGAGGACGAGGAGGTCGCGGGGGACCAGCTGCTGCCCGTGTCCGGCGGCGGGAGGCGGAGGCGGGGCCCGCGGAGGGAGCCCTTGGAGCGGGTAGCCAACCCCTTCGAGCTGGTGAGGATTCGCCGCGGCCCGGCCGGACACCCTCAGCAGCCGGGCGGCGTCCTCCGGCTGTCCCGGCCGCCGAGCCGCGTCAGTCCACCCAGGCCGGGGGGGGGGTGTGAGGGGCTGGAGCCTCCCGGTGCCTTTCGGAGGGTTGGGTGGCAGCTCCAGCCCTTTGCGGGTGGCTGTGGTCAGTTTGTAGCACTGGGGTGTCTCCCGAAAGTTTGCTCCCAGGAGGAGTTTTGCCTGGGTCAGTTCCCTGGTGGGAAAGAAACTGCACTCTTGTTTGCTCTCCTGATCCTGCTGCTGGCCACCCATCTTAGGTGAGAGAGAAAGAGAAACCAAATGAGGGTTACACCATAGGCTTGCTTGTGGACTGGGAAACTTTTAACCTGTGCAGATAAACAGTGAAGGACTGGATGAGGACCTGGTGTCTAAAGAGGAGACTGATGACTCCCGACTGCAGGAAAGAGACAACCCAGCAGCTGAAGAGGCTGAACCTGAAAGGCCCCAGAGCGACAAGTGGGAGGAGGGAGAGGTGGAACAGCTGGACCAAATGGCAAGTATCCTGTAGAAAACAATGGTGCCTATTTTTGTTTAAAACTGATTATATATCATCAATGAAAAACAAAGCAACTTGTAGAAAAGGTTTTGAAAACAACTACACAAAAAGCGCATACAAACAGGTCAGCTTCATGACAATAATAGTAACAAACTGCAGTCAATAATTTGGCACATGTAACACCCCTGCTCCAGGAGCTGCACTGGCAGCCATATACTATTCAGGATGCTGTTTGTCACCATTAAAGTCCTTCATGGTTTGGTTATGTGAAGGATTGTCTACTTCCAGTTGTTTATACCCATCCAGTCCAGTCTGGCAGGATGTGCAAACTCCTGGTCCCGTGGGCTAAGGAATGGTAGGGAGCAGAAGGCATGCCTTTTCTTCCATAGTGCCTTTCCACTGGAACATCTCCTGAGTTTACAATGGCCCCAACCTGGCTGGCCTTTCAAAGGGTCTTGTGTCCTGGGTGTGTGAATGGCTCCATTTCCTGCTATTTTGATACTGATGGATTATAATATTGCTTGGCTGCTATTTGTATTTTTATCTGCTGGCACATCTTTTGGGTATTTGTGACTATAACTCCTAAACAGAAACTTAGATATTTTCCTGGGTTAGATAACTTGTTTGAAATTTGTACTTTTGATGTCGTGCTTCACTATATGCATTTTTCAACCTTTTATTTTTATCTTTAAAAGACTACTGTAAACAACAAATCACGAAAGAAAAAGAAGAAAAGAAAGAATAAGAAGAATCCTTCAAGCGAGGCTCTGGTAAACTGAATTAGGTTTGGGGATTAAGCACTTGTACAGAAATGCTGAATGAAACAAACCAATTGAGGCATGTGGAAAAAGTCATGGTTATTCTCTTTGCTGCGAGCAATTTGAGACTTCATTTGAAATTAGAACATTAAAATATGATGCTACCCTTACAAAATCATGACTACAGCTCTACAGAATCTTGACTATTCAGTCACTAGAAAGAGCTTGCAGTTCAAGGAACAAAGAAAGGCAAAATCTGTGCAAGACCAAACTCAAGCAGAATCCAAGGGTTGAAAGGGGCCCTGGACCTATAGTAGTTCAACCCCATCTGGGGCAGATTCTCAGACATCTTGGACAAATGGCTGTCCTATGTTCAGTGA